ATTATCTCCCATGCATTTCTATAGTACAATTATTTGCAATGCTTGCTATAATAACATTATCTCCAATGCATTTCTATAGTAAAATTATCTCACATGCATTTCTATAGTAAAATTATTTGCAATGTTTTTACTATAATAACATTATCTCCAATAGATTCTATAGTAAAATTATTTGCAATGCTTGCTATAATAACATTATCTCCAATGTATTCCTATAGTAACATTATTTCTAAAGCATTCCTATAGTAACATCATTTGCAAAGAATAGGTTCAATAGTTTGAACAACACTTGGAATAACAATGTCTTTCTTCAGTGATTTTCACCCTGTAAAAAGCCAAGCGGCCACAAGAGGTAAATGGTAACAGTAAAAGGCAAAATTTATGCGGATGGGTGGGGAAGATAACGGTTAAGCCTAGACTTGAACAGGTTAAGACTGTAGTGATCGCGGAAATAATTTCTTCAGAGTCAGTTCAACAGACCAGTGGTTCTCAGGGGGAAGTTAGAATGGAACTTAATTCTCAGTAATGGAATACGGAGGTGGGTGAGGGTGGTTTGCTACAATGTGGGTGGCATGGCAGGTCCTGGCCGTGGAAGTTCAAACTGGGGGAACCAGGAAATATAGTCCGTCCTAGCACTTTCCATGGAAGCAGCTATAGAGCAGTGAGAGGCTTGCCACGTCCCACCCGTGAGAGAGAACTTGGGGAGGGTAGAAAATAATTTGTCACCTACAAGAACTCCGAGGCGCCTTTGGACTCTATCGAGACTGGAAAGTGAGGAATCGGAGCCTCCCGCCCAAGTATGACAGCAGTAGAGTCCTATTTTCGATTTTGTCTGGCATTTGTAAAGGCAGAGGATAGCACGTGAAGTCAGGTACTCACTGGAGCCTGACAGGGAACCGATTATTTCCCCTGCATCTTTAGCTATGGACCGTATGTACGAGTTCTACTTGAGTTCAGGGGTGACTTTAAGGCCCAAGAGTTTCTCAATGCATGAAGCATCACCGTGGGGACATCCTTTCATCGTGACCGGTAGTAGTTCGGGGTCCCATCGGCGATGAAGAAATGTAACTAGATTTATATTCGGAGTATTGAATGTAACCAGCCAGTTTTTCTCCCACTGAGAAGTTAGATAAGATCAGTTGAGAATTTAGAGCAAGATCAGATGAGAGATCAGCTGAGAAGTTAGAGCAAGGTCGGATAAAAGATCAGCTGAGAAGTTAGAGCAAGATCGGATGAGGTATGAGCTGAGTAGTTAGAGCAAGATCGGATGAGAGATCAGCTGAGAAGTAAGAGCAAGATCGGATGAGAGATCAGCTGAGAAGTTAGAGCAAGATCGGATAAGAGATCAGCTGAGAAGTTAGAGCAAGATCGGATGAGATATGAGCTGAGTAGTTAAAGCAAGATCGGATGAGAGATCAGCTAAGAAGTTAGAGCAAGATCGGATGTGATATGAGCTGAGTAGTTAGAGCAAGATCGGATGAGAGATCAGCTGAAAAGTTAGAGCAAGATCGGATGAGAGATCAGCTAAGAAGTTAGAGCAAGATCGGATGCGAAGTGAGCTGAGTAGTTAGAGCAAAATCGGATGAGAGAACAGCTAAGAAGTTAGAGCAAGATCGGATGCGATGTTAGCTGAGTAGTTAGAGCAAGATCGGATGCGATGTTAGCTGAGTAGTTAGAGCAAGATCGGATGAGAGATCAGCTAAGAAGTTAGATCAAGATCGGATGCGATGTGAGCTGAGTAGTTAGAGCAAGATCGGATGAGAGATCAGCTAAGAAGTTAGAGCAAGATCGGATGCGATGTGAGCTGAGTAGTTAGAGCAAGATCGGATGAGAGATCAGCTGAGAAGTTAGAGCAAGATCGGATGCGATGTGAGCTGAGTAGTTAGAGCAAAATCAGATGAGAGATCAGCTGAGAAGTTAGAGCAAGGTCGGATAAAAGATCAGGTGAGAAGTTAGAGCAAGATCGGATGAGGTATGAGCTGAGCAGTAAGAGCAAGATCGGATGAGAGATCAGCTGAGAAGTAAGAGCAAGATCGGATGAGAGATCAGCTGAGAAGTTAGAGCAAGATTGGATGAGATATGAGCTGAGCAGTAAGAGCAAGATCGGATGAGAGATCAGCTGAGAAGTTAGAGCAAGATCGGATGAGATATGAGCTGAGTAGTTAAAGCAAGATCGGATGAGAGATCAGCTAAGAAGTTAGAGCAAGTTCGGATGTGATATGAGCTGAGTAGTTAGAGCAAGATCGGATGAGAGATCAACTAAGAAGTTAGAGCAAGATCGGATGAGAGATCAGCTGAGAAGTTAGAGCAAGATCGGATGAGATATGAGCTGAGCAGTATGAGCAAGATCGGATGAGAGATCAGCTGAGCAGTAAGAGCAAGATCGGATGAGAGATCAGCTGAGAAGTTAGAGCAAGATCGGATGAGATATGAGCTGAGTAGTTAAAGCAAGATCGGATGAGAGATCAGCTAAGAAGTTAGAGCAAGATCGGATGAGAGATCAGCTAAGAAGTTAGAGCAAGATCGGATGCGATGTGAGCTGAGTACTTAGAGCAAGATCGGATGAGAGATCAGCTGAGAAGTTAGAGCAACATCGGATGCGATGTGAGCTGAGTAGTTAGAGCAAGATCAGATGAGAGATCAGCTGAGAAGTTAGAGCAAGATCGGATGAGAGATCAGCTAAGAAGTTAGAGCAAGATCGGATGCGATGTTAGCTGAGTAGTTAGAGCAAGATCGGATGAGAGATCAGCTGAGAAGTTAGAGCAAGATCGGATGCGATGTGAGCTGAGTAGTTAGAGCAAGATCAGATGAGAGATCAGCTGAGCAGTAAGAGCAAGATCGGATGAGAGATCAGCTGAGACGTTAGAGCAAGATTGGATGCGATGTGAGCTGAGTAGTTAGAGCAAGATCAGATGAGAGATCAGCTAGGAAGTTAGAACAAGATCGGATGCGATGTGAGCTGAGTAGTTAGAGCAAGATCGGATGAGAGATCAGCTGAGAAGTTAGAGCAACATCGGATGCGATGTGAGCTGAGTAGTTAGAGCAAGATCAGATGAGAGATCAGCTGAGAAGTTAGAGCAAGATCGGATGAGAGATCAGCTAAGAAGTTAGAGCAAGATCGGATGCGATGTGAGCTGAGTAGTTAGAGCAAGATCGGATGAGAGATCAGCTAAGAAGTTAGAGCAAGATCGGATGCGATGTGAGCTGAGTAGTTAGAGCAAGATCGGATGAGAGATCAGCTGAGAAGTTAGAGCAAGATCGGATGAGAGATCAGCTGAGAAGTTAGAGCAAGATCGGATGCGATGTGAGCTGAGTAGTTAAAGCAAGATCGGATGAGAGATCAGCTAAGAAGTTAGAGCAAGATCGGATGCGATGTGAGCTGAGTAGTTAGAGCAAGATCGGATGAGAGATCAGCTAAGAAGTTAGAGCAAGATCGGATGCGATGTGAGCTGAGTAGTTAGAGCAAGATCAGATGAGAGATCAGCTGAGTAGTTAGAGCAAGATCAGATGAGAGATCAGCTGAGAAGTTAGAGCCAGATCGGATGAGATATGAGCTGAGCAGTAAGAGCAAGATCGGATAAGAGATCAGATGAGAAGTTAGAACAAGATCGGATGTGTGGTTAGCTGCCAATCTCTGGTCACCACGAGATTTGGAGATAACCCGTATATCGTCGTGTCAGCGTCATAAATATTCACAAATGATCTATGTATATTCTTAAGAAGATCATTTATTTAAATTCAAGAGAGAGTTGGTCCGAGGAGTGACCCATGATGTGTCGGCGCCTGCGTTGATTTCTAGGGTCATGGAGGGCTGCCCCTTAACAACTACCCCCAGGGACATACCCGTTAGGAAGGACTTTATAATCGACAGGACCCTTCCAGTAATTCCATCGCTGGAGACTTTGATGTATATGCAAATTTATTTCTTTTTACCAGCAGTTTAATGATACATATAAAAATGTTATTTTTGTTACCAACAGTTTTATTTGCACATGCAAATATACAAATGTTAGATATTTTTACCGGCATATTTTTTTTTACCTCCATCTTTTACCGCCATTTTTTAAAAATGTTTTACCGGAAGTTCTTTTTTTCTTACCGGCAGCATATGCAGATAATGCTTTGTTACCGTTTTAGTAATGCACATGCAAATTTTATTTATTTGATTCTGCCTTCCCAGGCGAAGAACTGGAGGAAAATCAGGGAGGTAAGATTGAAACGCTTTTGAGGGGGGGGGGTGCAGGCGCAGGAGATGGGCAAAATAAATAAAGAACATTACTTTGATTGGCTGAAGGACAGCTCCCACACCCGCGTCTCAAAGAAAATGGTATTGGAACTGATCACAGACAAAACAGAACGATATTAGGAGCCGTTCATTCCGCTATTTCTTCTCCCTTTCATGACTGCTAATTGAGTTTAAGGATTCAAATCCATTACTGTGTCGTGTAAAAAAAAAATGAAAGATATGATTACCGGAAGCAGGCGAAAATATTTTGTCCTTGTGCAGATAAAATAGGGTTTCAAATTAAAAAGTATATTCGCATTGTTCTAGCCGCAAGGTCTCTCTCGGCCAGACACGTGTATATGTATTTTATTTTTTAATATTTCTTTATAAGTCTTCTTCATGGAGTGCGTGCTAATTTCTAATCTTTTTAATAGGGTTTCATGTAGTTCTATAACCACGACATAAAAAAAAATCTGTAACAAAATTTGCGAACCTTATATAAACAAAGGAATTCTTCCTTCTAAGTTTGTTGCGGGGACTGTCTTTCTAAACAAACAAATAAAAAATAGGGAGACAATAAATAAATAAACAAAGGGAAGAATAAAAAAAAAGGAAGGAATAAATACGACAGAGAAAAGAGAGAAGAAAGAAAGAAAACAAGAAGAGGAATGGTAGAAAAAAAAGAAATAAAAAGAGAAATGGTAGAAAGAAAGAAAGGAAGGAAGGAAGAAAGAAGTGCAATGAGAAAAAGAAAGGAAAAGAATGGAGAAATAACGCGATAGAAAGAATTTTCCTCCAGTTCTTCGCCTGGGAAGGCAGAAAGAAAAAAGTAAATGGAGGAATTAAAGAAGAAGGAAAAAGAAAGAAATAGAAGAAAAAAGAAATAAAAAGGGAAATAGTAGAAAGAAAGAAAGGCAGAAAGGAAGAAAGAAAGAAAGAGGGATAATGAGGAAAAGAAAGGAAAAGAATGGAGAAAAAACGAGCTAGCAAGAAAAAAAGTAAATGGATGAATTAAAGAAAAAAAAGAAAAAAGAAAAAGAAAGAATGAAAAAAGAAGAGAAATGGTAGAAAAAAGAAATAAAAAGGGAAATAGTAGAAAGAAAGAAAGACAGAAAGGAAGAAAGAAAGAAAGAAAGAAAGGAAGGAAGAAAGAAAGGAAGGAAGGAAGAAAGAAAGAAAGGAAGGAAGGAAGGAAGGAAGGAAGAAAGAAAGAAAGAAAGAATAGTAAGCTCAAAATCAAGTGGTAAAAAGGTAGAAAAAATAAATAAATAAAATAAAGGAATTAAAAAAAGAAAGTAATAGCGATTTGCCAAGCGTAGCTCAGATGTGGCACAAGGCCGAAAGTATGGGGCACCCAGTGAAGATCGAACTCCCTACTAAGTCGTAATTAGTTCTAGCGCGACAATCTTGCTAACAATTACACCACCTCGAGGTATCCAATAAATAACGTAATAAACAAGAAAGAAAAAAAAGATGGTACGCTCAAAATCAAGAAGGAAGAAAGAAATGAAATAAAATAAAATATAAGGAAAAAAAGGAATAAATAAATAAGAAAGAAAGGATGGTGAGCTCAAAATCAAGGGATAAAAAGGAGGAAAAAGAAAGAAATTGCACGAATTAAAGAAAAAGAAAGAAAGGAGCAAATAAGAAAGAAAGAAAGGATGGTGAGCTCTAAATCAAGGGATAAAAAGAAGGAAAAAAGAAAGAAAGAAATTAAATGGAGGAATTAAAGAAAAAAGTAAAAAGAAAGACAGAAAGAAAGAATAGTGAATTTAAAATCAAGGGCTAAAAAGAAAGAAAAAAGAAAGAATGAAATGAAACAGAGGAATTAAAGAAAAAGAAAGAAAGTAATAAACAAGAAAGAAAGAATTCTAAGCTCAAAATCAAGGGATAAAAAATAAGAAAAGAGAAGAAAAGAAATGAAATAAAAGAATGAAATAAAAAGAAAGGAAGAAAGAAAGAAAGTATGGTGAGCCCTAAAATCAAGGGATAAAAAGGAGGAAAAAAGAAAGAAATTGTTGTGTCGGAAACCTACCACCCCTCTTGAAGATGAACTTGTCTGCGTCTGTGAACAAAGACTTTAAATAGTGGCATGTCAGTTGACATGGGGAAGATAGATAGACCGAGAGGGTAAGACCTCCGAGTCTAGCTGAGTCGTGATACAGTCTTTGACTGTAAGCGACGTCTGTCGAACTCTCTGCGTTAGCAGAGAGGAACCCTGACGAAGCTTTGCCGAAGGGCAAGGTTTCACCCGGGGAGGTAGACAGGGCCTGAACCCGTCTAGGCGGGTTCAAAGGCTATATTTTTGGCCGAGCCTACGGGCTCGGAGATACCCCCATTAAACCGGCCTTGTGCCATATTCAATCCTCGTGGGTGGATCGATAAATACTAAGACAGATAGACAGAGAAGTTCTTAGCTGAGCTAGTTATTGACTACTCAGGCGATTTCTGTACCTATTTAACAACCGATTAAAACCCTTTTTATTGTTACGTGTTATTTGGCGTTTGTCTCTACTAACCCCAAATCAACATCATAACAGAAATAAAATAGAGCAATAAAAGAAAAAAGAGGAAAAGAAAAGAATAAATAAGAAAGAAAGAAATCAAAGGATAAAAAGGAGGAAAAAAGAAAGAAATAGAAATATATAAGCAACAAAGTAAGAAGGATGGGAAAAAAAGTCGAAAGAAGGAAAAGTATAGACAGATTTTTCTTAAATGCCATATCACTTGAAAACTTGAACAGTAATTGTTCTCCACAGCTTCCTTTTCTTTATTATCTGTGAACAGTCATGTCTTCTTGGAGAAAAATAATGGAATTGTTTCCCGTTGCCTTCTCCACACTTTTGAATTCAAAATAGCCTTGTTACTGAACTGGTACTCAAGGCTCGAGAGCCTGCGCTGATATTATAGATTCTGTAAGAGAAAAAAAATTCATGTCTTAAGAGAATTTGTGTAAAAGTGAACGCGACCAACTAGTGCGAAATTAGAACTCGGTTCGTCGATTTTACTTTTCACGCTGATAACAGTCACGCTGCCCACACATCCTATAAACATGTACACGAATATCCAAATTAAACAAATGTACAAATATAGATATGAATAGTTAAAAAGAAAAAGATGTTACCTATTTTAGGAATGAAGTAGTAATTTTCTCACCGGAACTGGAGGTTGGTGTTCGAACCCGAGTTAAATCTAGAATATTGAGTGCTGATTATTTTAGGGCAGATGAATTTCTTCAGTAGAGTAGACTGACGTGGCATAATATTCCGATTGTCAACTTTGACGGAATCGCGTCGCCATATCAAGTCATGCTTAGTGAATATCAGTAACAAAAGGACAATTATATTCAGAAGCAGAAAGAGGCAGTTGAAATTTCTAGGGCACATAATGAGAAAAGAAGGTTTAGAAAATTTGATCCTCACAGGACATATTGAAAGCAAGAGGGTTCGGAGGAAAACAGTGCACAACCCACCTAAAGTGTTTGTATGAATGGTTGCAGAACAGGGATTAAGGGAGAAAGCGAAAAGACAAACTTTACTAAGAGCTACAAAGGACAGGAAATTGTGGGCAACCCTGATCGCTCACGCCCGGAAAGGACATAATATATAGAAGAAGAAGAAGAAGAAGAAGAAGAAGAAGAAGAAAAGGAAGATCCGGCTTGTGTAAAGGATTGTCAGAACAGGTATTAGGGGAGATGAAAAAAAGATTAACTTGAGAAAATGCTACAAATGACAGGGAATTGTGGAGAGCCATGATTGCACACACCCTGAATGGACAGGGAATAAAGAAGAAGAAGAAGAAGAAGAAGAAGACGCTTGTGGAAATAACTCTCATAACAGGGTTTAGAGGCGGTAGCCAGAAAGATAAACTTTAGCAAGAGCTACAAAGGACAAAAATGGTGGAGGAGGACCATAATTGTTCCCGCCCAGAAGGAACATGGCACATAGAAGAAGAAGATGAAAAAGAAGATGAAAAAGAAGAAGAAGAAGATGAAGAAGAAGGTGAAAAAGAAGAAGAAGAAAAAGAAGATGATGATGATGAAGATGAAGAAGAAGATGAAAAAGAAGATGAAGAAAATGAAGAAGATGAAAAAGAAGAAGAAGAAGAAAAAAAGAAGATGATAATGATGATGAAGAAGATGATGAAAAAGAAGAAGATGAAAAACAAGAAGATGAAAAAAGAAGATGATGAAAAAGAAGAAGAAGAAAAAAAGAAGATGATAATGATGATGAAGAAGATGATGAAAAAGAAGAAGATGAAAAACAAGAAGATGAAAAAAGAAGAAGATGAAGAAGAAGATGAAAAAGAAGAAGAAGAAGAAAAAGAAGATGATGATGATGAAGAAGATGAAGAAGAAGAAGATGATGAAAAAGAAGAAGAAGATGAAAAAGAAGAAGAAGAAAAAGATGATGATCATGATGATGATGAAGAAGATGAAGAAGAAGAAGATGAAAAAGAAGAAGATGATGAAAAAGAAGAAGAAGAAGAAGAAGAAGAAGAATACGCTTGTGTAAATGGCTGTCATAACAGGGTTTAGGGGCAGTAGCCAAAAAAATAAACTTTAGTAAGAGCTACAAAGGACAAAAAAAATATTGACGGAGAACCATGATCGTTTACGTCCGGAAAGGACATGGCACATTGAAAAAGAAAAAGTAGAAGAAGAAGAAGGAGGAGGAGGGTGAGGAGGAGATAGAGAAGGAAGAGGAAATCTTGTGCAACGCTATCGACGGACATGACTAATGACAAATGAAAACACCAATCCAAATCTCTAATAGGTAACATTGAATTATTAACAGTACTTAAGTTTAGTGATTCGCTCGTTCCGGCTTTTTGCTTTCCAGTCAAATTTTGCTTATTTTTTATTACGAACCGATCAGGTAACTTCATTAATGTCAATTTTATTTAAATCGGGACTTCGTTAGTTAACATCAGTTTGCGGATGTTTGGCCTCGGACCATCTCTGAACCGTAGACCCTACATTCTCATATAGATATAAGGAGCTCTCTTCTACCTGCCTTTGGTTTTATATATATATATATATATATATATATATATATATATATATATTGTGTGTATTTAGGCAGCATATTTTCATTTATACACGTTTCATTAAATAATATAGACAAGTGTTGTCTATTTATTTTATGCAAAATTTTTCGTATCTTCTGATAAGTTTGATAACATTATCATTAACCGAAAAAGAAATTCACAATATTTATCCATTATTTTTTTTAATATAATCTAAGCTTTCAGCTTACTCAAGCCATTATCAAAGATGTAATTACAAACATATCAAACAATATACGGACACGACAGTGATGATAGTCTGTCATTGTTTAGTTTACATAGTGGATCACTAAGCAACGATGAACACGCGCATATAAGACGCTAGAAGCGAAAATCGCACCGCATCTCATGACGTCACACATGACTACACGAGAGTGAATTGGAGAATGAAATAAGGAAAGCCGTTGGTATAAACAAATGGCTTCTGTTACCAATTATAATTACATAAAATAAATAGACAACACTTGTCTATATTATTTAATGAAACGTGTATATATATATATATATATATATATACATATATATATATATATACCTTTCTTTTAAACATCTTTTGTTAAGTATGGCAGACAAGGAAAATTCAATTAATTTTCTATTTAGTTTTTTTTTCCTCGTTCTTTAATTTTTACATTTGGTGGAAGTAAAGGAGTGCAAAAATTGGCCATATGGCCCATTTTCAAGGCGCTTTGTGTTGGGTGTTGTTAATTTCTCTTCATGTTTTGACTGTTTAAGATGTATTTTGTATGTTATTTTGAAGGGGCGTTTATTCCGAGCCTCCGCGTGTTAAGCGTAGCTGGAATTCGAGTGAGCGTCTTTCTATTTTTTTAAAAAAATGTTTAACACACCATTCCCAATGTTAAATAAGGCGAGGTTGATAGTGGGAGAAAGATGTTTTATATTCAGGCCTGTGATTTACATAGAATGTTTTTAGTGTTTTTGAATTTTTATCAAGTGTTTTTGCAAATTGTGAGTTAATAGATGTTTTTTTTTTTTTATAGCACTTTGATCTGATAAGTGCACGTAAAGCGTCTAGTTAAGGAGGTGGTAGTATGTCCAATATAGTTTATTGATTTATGACAAGAAACATTGTCTTGTACTGGACTGTGAAATTGCTACACTATATTGGTCATGGACAGTTTAAGCGAATTCGTTCTGCTTATAA